TGATGCAGTTGGATACGGGCTTAGCAACTTCTCGCAAGCAATCTACGGTTTTTACCTATGATGAGCTCGAGGGCTTCGGGATCGTCGGCACATTCCCCGATCACTTCCGTGGCATTCCTCAGCAGCGGAGAATCGTTGGAAGCGAGAAGCCTGACGAGAGCGGCCAGACTCCCGCTCTGACGGAGGATGAATCGACTGGAGTCCCTGCGGGCGAGTTGGGCCAGGGCTCCGACGGCGTTGGCTCGGGCTTTCCCGGCGGGGATCGGGGGGTCCAGCAGGGAACCGAGTTTCGCCGTCGTTCCCAGGCTCTCCAGGCGGTGGGTCATGTTTCTGTTCTTCGTCTTTGCGCAGGCCCAAAGGGCGCTCGTCACCGCCGTCAACAGGCTCCAGCTTCCGGTCTCTCTGGCCTGCAAGAGAGAAACGACCGTTTCGACGCCGTTTCGAAGGAACGGATCCATCGGATCGGAGACGGAACGGACGTCGAGAAGAGCGACGAAGACGTCCAATCCCCCGTTGACTCGAATGATCTCCCTGGTCCCGTCGTCTTCCGCGCATTTTGCGAGGACCAGAGCGCAGTTCTCTTGGAGGCAGGGATCTTGGGTGCTCCAAAGCAGTTGCACCAAGGGTTCCACCAGTTTCTGACTCCTGACGGCCACTCGATACTCCTCTGCAACGAAACGGACCGAAATCGTGCAGGCCGCGGGTCCGCGCGATTCCGCGACGAGGCCGCAGAGACTCACTTTCGGCCGCGCATTCTTGAAGGAGACCGACGACGGGAACGAGGATGGCATTGTGCCTCGCCTTGAGGAGGAGCCTCCCGAGGACGAGGATCGCTCCTGCCTTCAACAGCTGCCTTCGCGGCTGCCGAGACCGGCACAGGGACAGCAGGGCCTCCGTTGCTGCCTTCACCTTCACGTAGCGTGGGGAAGGGAAAGGGGGGAAGGTGGTGGTGGGGGGGAGGGGGAAGGAACGAAAATAACTTTATTTACCGGGACACTTTCAACGAGAGACACGAAAGCCGCCCGGAATAGCGTAACGATGAAAAATTGAAAGCATCCGGGAGGGTTAGGTTTTCCCGCTGCTACTGTGTGCACAATGGAAACTTTTCCCCTTGACAGGTTGGGTTCATGAAACGTGCATGAACCGGACTGGCTTCTGGGTCAAAAGTGTCAAATTACATTTCTAACAGGGATAGACGTGCGCCTCTCTCTATTCCATTCTGTAATCTCGTTTTTCGGGTCCATGCTACGGTGTATCCCATGGACTTCTCTCGTCCCAAACGAGATGAACCACTCGATGTGGCTTGCAGGGTTCCCATGTACTTGGGAAAAATAATATTGATTTCTCGTGAACATGACGAAGCCTTTGATCTCAGGAAAATGCTTTTCATCCATGTCGTCGAACTCGGTTTTCCCTCTGGAGCTCGCCCAGATTCGAGTGACTCTTGGGTCATGGTTCTCGGCTAATTAATTCCATTTTTCAGAGCTGTCAAAGGGCATCAGAATTCATTAAGGTTGACGATAATGGGCTTAAAGGTATTCAGCCTCTCTTATAGGCTGATTGGGGGGGGGGGGGGGG